GGCAGTGCCGCTTCCCATGGGGTTTGCCAGCCACAGCGCTCATGCCAAAAGTGATGTGCTAAGGGGAATTTCTTTTGGGACCTGGGACAGCCCTCCCCATAGGTATTGTGTTTGCAATGCTGATTCACACCAAGCACGCTCTATAATTTGGGGTGGGTGGCTGTGTGTTAGATTTTGTTTCAGATAGTGTGTTGCTGGCTACTTCATGAGTGAAACTTATTTTAATAGTTCCTCTTTGATCCTTGTCATTTTTTTGACCTGAGCAGAGGTGGTGAAAGCACCACTTTGTTACCGTTCAATTTTAGAGTTGGAGAAATATGAATTCAGGTCCCTTAATTTTGCCTTTTTTTTTTTGGAAACAACATCTCTGAGGTTTAGCTGTCCTACAGAGAAAGCTCATCTTGTGCAGCATCTTCATGGTGTTTATTGGTAAATCTCAGAAGAAGAATTGCTGAAGAGGCAGCGTTCCTGCTTCACCAAACTGGTTCCATCTCCAGGAAATAACCTGATGTTGTGCACAGAACGGAGGACATGCAAGAATGTCATTCCTTAAAGCTGTGCTTCTGAATTTTTCTTCTTTTATGTTAGCTGGTTTCCAGGCTATTCTAAGCAGAAAGAGAGGTGTGGATTTCACACCACTGAGTGTCTTGGGAGAGGACAGAAAGCGGGTGCAGCTTTTTACCTTAGCAAACAGAAGGCTGAGGTGGTGTCAGCTTGCTCCTCTGGAAGGAGGCACCGCTGCTATTTAAAATAAAGACAGTTCTGTTGTTCATAGGGAAGGATGTTGTCTGGCCTTGAGTGCTGGAAACAAGGGAAAGCATTCTGTCCGTGGAAGCATGATGGTTTGGAAGGTGCCTGTGCTGTGGGGGTTTTGATGGCAGAGGAGGCAGCTGTGAGGTTGGCCTTGGTCTGTTCATGGGAGGCATTCATTCTTCACGTAAAGGACACTCAGCTGTGACCCTTTCAATCCCCAGTGCCTTCTGGCTTTGGTGCAGTGGCACAATCGCAGCATTTGTCGGAGAACAGGGTGGGAAGAACCCTTCTTTGCAAATGGGATTTTGCCATTCAGTCACTTCTGGAGAACATGCATTTTAAGCCTGGGAGACAGGAGGCTCCTTATGGGAGAGGGAAACTTTGATGGGAATTCATCTCTACCAGTTCTCCTTGTGGGTTTCTTCACTGATGGTCCTCCTTGCTTCAAGTTGTGGCTGGGGCAACATTCTGTCTCTTGGCCAAACCAGTTCTGAACCCGTAAAATCCCTGATGTGTGCAGTAATTGAGTGGAGAGTCAGGGAGAGCCGTTCACCCTGCTTTGGTACCACTACACATGTTTCATAGATATGCTGAAGATAATTTGATACTTTGATCTTTGTAATTAGGATTGTTCATTTATTAGTAGCTCTCTAATTACCTGCACGTCAGAACCAGTTGCTTTGCATATCTGGGACTGAGTCATCATTATTAAAAAAGAAAAATGATTTTCTCACAGGGTGTGATTCCTTACTCATATTTTCCCCATTAGATTGTTGAAATGCTCTTTTATTCTTCCTTATGAGATGTTTATTGCTGATTGGCATTGATGCCAGAGGTGTTGATTTTATATCTGCTTCTCGGTATTGTTGCATCATAACATCTGACCCAACAATTCCAAACATTTCCCAACGCTGTAATTTCACGCCATCGACAGAGAGCTTTTCTATGTCTCACCATCCCTTTTTTCCTTTTTTCCTTTTTTTCTAACATGGTCATGGCTGTTTTACATTTCAGTCTTTCTGTTCTGCAGCTCCTTTCCGTGTCCCACTCCGTTTTGGTCCTGCGTGCCGTGGCTCTGTGTTGGGCTGAGGCAGCCGCAGGGCTGTGTTGGAGGCACACAGATCCTCAGCACTCCTACAAGCACCAATTCCTGGGCTGCCGTCGGCATTCAGAGCCCTGCAGTGGCAGGAGGAGGTCGGCCTGGGGCTGCTGTGGGCGGCACAGGGGCTCCTCAGCTCCGTGACATCGCTCCTTCCCCTGGGGGACTTTTTGCTCACAATCAGAGCAGTTGATCTGAAGTATCAGTGTTTTGAAAACTTTCTAATTGCTGTTTACTCACTGGTGAAATTGGGATCAGAGCACAAACAGATGCTCTGAATTGGCAAAAGAATCAAAATATTCAGTGGTTTTCACAGAAACCATGATGCCATCACTGGATATATGTCTTTGGTCTCACACGAGGGAGGGGACAACCTTAGAAGCATCTCCTGGCAATTAAGTGTTCTGCAGTGAATGAGTGCCCTCCTCTTGGTCCGAAGCATGCTTCTCTGATCTGCTTCAGCAGGAACTCCATCAGAGTGACCCAGACAGAAATTCCATCCTGCCAAGGCCCTTTTTATTCCCTGCAGCTCTCTCCAGAGCAGTGCACATCTCGTATCGCTCCTGGCGCAGCCGCGGCTGTGGTGCAGCCAGAGCAGCCGCTGGCGGGAGGCAGCTGGGCCCAGGGGCAGCCCTGCTGACAGCACCCAGCGTGTGCTGCCTTCTGCACAGCTCTGTGTGCTCCGTCATCTTCCCTGGGAAGATGCTCCTGCTCCACACCCAGGGGAGGTCAGCGCCCACCGAGCCAGTGGCAACACGCAGAGGGTGGTTATGGGGAGGACTCAGCGGTGATCTCATTCTGCTGCAGTCAGTGGCAGTTTTATGGGACGTCCACTCCTTTCAGCCTGAAGATTTTTCACAGCTTTGGCTTTCCAGATGTAACTGGAAGCTGCCGTCTGTTTCACAACACCCTCACACTCTTACACACTGATCCCGAAACGTTCTGTGCTCCCTAAAGCACTGTGGTGTGGAAGGCTGTAGCTTTGGTCATTGCAGTGCTTCTCTGTGCTGCTGCTGGAGGTTTAGAGCCAAACAAAACAGCCTTGCAGTGCTTATTTATACGCACTAACTGGGGTTCAGGTCTCCACAGCCTTTCCTGAGAGAGATCTTCGTAACATCATTGGCTGTGTTAAGTGCAGCTGAGACCTGAATGAGCTCTGGTAGCATTTGGAAAGGAAACTCATGTTTGCATTTGCTTTGCATCGCTTTCTCTATTGTTAAAACCTTAAATGAACCTTTTTTCTTTGGAATAGGGCTTTTCTTCACACGAATTCCTGATGCTAGCCTAAAAAAGTCAGTTTGACAACCCAGCTTTTCAAGATGAGCAAGAAGTATCTCCTCATTGCAGATGCTGTGAGCTGCAATTATGTTACTGTGATGGCCGAGCCCAGCCACATAGCTACCGAAACAACACCTAACCTAAATAACTGCTGAGTTGCTTGGGATGAGAAAGCTTTTTGTTTTGTTACCCTATGGAAACAGTGCCTCAGCCTTCAGTGAAATGGCCGGGCTGGTGGTGGAGGGGGGCGCAGGAGGTGCTCTCAATGGGCTGAAAGCTGCCTTTGGGGAGCTGAAGTGCAGTTATGGATTGAAAAGGGGATTGCTGTGTCCTTCAGAAAGCAGAACATGTATAAAGCATCTGTTCTAGCATTGCCTTTTCATCTCCAGTCGTATTGCACACTTTTATCTTCTGAGAGAAACAGAAACATTAAGAAAATACCATCCATGGGGGAAACAGGTTTCTGATTCCTTGGAAGGTGCTGTGTCAACCAATGGCTGATACAGACAAAAGAGACTTCTTGGCATTATATTAGTATTTAAGTTGGAATTTCAGCTGTAAAATGTGAGAATGTTTTTGCTGCATGAAACTAAATGAAACAGGCGTGTTCCCTTGTTGCCTGCATTTCCTAGCAGAGGTTAGGAATCAGAACTTTCTGCATAGTCAAAGGTGTGGAAATACTTAACGTCATGAAACCCCATCGTACTGCAGCAACCTGTACTGAGTCACACCTTCCCTGGGAGCTGTACCTATAGTGAACCGAGTAAAGCCAGAGATGAATGGATTCTGATGTGTCAGAGCAGTGGCAGTGAGCGCAGTTTGGTGCAGTCACGGTTACTTAATCTTCAGAGATTACCCATCATTTTCCTTCTCCTTTCCTTAGCTCACTGATGACACCTGGGCACAGTGGCCATTTTCTTACAGCAGAACTGGTTGTTCTCAGTGTGTGTACAGACCATGGCAGGACAGCCTGTGTTTTGTTGGCTGGCTTGATAATATGTGTTCAAAGTTTGTTAAATTAAATTCCTTAGACATTTTTATTTGCATCAAAGAAGTGAAGTTTTATTAATGACAGCATTATCAGCAGAATTCAAGCTTTTAAACAAAGATCCAGTTGACAAGGACAAGTTGAGTAAGGCCAGCATTGCAGAAGGGAAGGTGAGGCCAGCGATGAGCGCTCCTCCGCACCGCATCGCATGGGCTGTGCTGCAGGAGCATTGCGTTCTGCCTCTCATCGTCCGTGGGTCAGTTCAGTGCATCTTAGGAGGAGGATGCCAGCATCACTGCTGTTGCTCTAGCACACTCTTGACTGCCCTGTGTGAAACCAGGGGAAATCGCTGACTGAAGGAGAAATCTGATTCTGATGTTTCCAGCTGAACTGAATTTTTTCACCTATCATGGTGTGTTACCAAAAGAACAGTGGGAGCAGCCCAGATGGCTGCAAGTGGAGCAGCACTCTAAGCATATTATCAGAAATGTTTTTTTTAAATTATTTATTCCGATTTTAATAAGCTTTAATCATTATGGCTATTATGACGAAGTGTAATCTTACCTGTCACGTCACCAGACTGGGATTGAGAGAAGGAACTAGAAGAATATGACTGGGAGGATTTTCCACCTCCTTGGAAAGCTCCTTGGGAGGCACTGTGAGAAGAGAGCAATTCACCAACAGTTAACAATAGCCACGATGTACACGGTCAGAGAACGTACTGCTGTAGCAGCATGCACTAGAAGACTCTCTAAGAAATTACAGGCTCAAAAGATTTACTTTTATTCCCTTGCCCTTAATATGGTATACATACGCAAGGTCTTGCTGTCCCTCATGGAGCAGAGCCCGGTACTGAGCAATCTCCTGCTCCAGGCGGGTCTTGATGCCCAGCAGCATCTTGTACTCCT